AAGTTGAACAGTGGTGGACAGATTCTCTTCCTCCAGCTGTTGCCAGCTGGGGGGCAGGGTGCCATAGGTATTGGTATCTTTCCCCAGCTGATATTCCAGCCTAATACCATGACTCTTTAGGATTGTGTTGATGCATGCTGACATCAAGACAGAGCCAGCTTGCATTATCTCACCACACTGGTCCTCAGAGTCTCTGGCTGCAGCTCTGAAAGGGACCTTTGTAAGGCTGTAGGGGAAAAGCCACAATCACAAGCCCCAGATCACTGGCGAAGGGCTAGTTAGCTCCAGCTCCTGGGGGCCTGATACAGTCTCACCCCACTAGTTTGAATTGCCAAATAGCAGAAAATATTCAGGGGTAGAAACCAGTGGAAGAACTCTGGCAACATAAATAACCAGGATAGATCAACTCCCCCGAGGGATGACAAAGGCAATACAATGGAAAATACCATCCATAGAGAAATGGCTAAAATGTCAGAAATGGAATTCAGAATATGGATGGCAAATAACATGAATAGAATGGAGGAAAAGATGGAAATAGAAATCCAAAAAGGTGTGTCAAGAAATTAATGAATGCAAATACAAAGCCACCAAGGATATGGACATAATGAGAAAAGATATGGCAGAGCTTAAGGAAGTGAAAAAGGTATTCAGGAAGCTTCAAAATATGGTAGAGTCCCTCAGTAATACAGTTAAACAAGCAGAAGAAATGCTCTCAGCAATTGAATACAAGTATTTTGAACAATCCCAAACATCAAAGAGGCAGAAAAATGGAGAACAAAAACAGAACACTCCCTGAGTTATAAGATCATTCCAAAAGATCAAATATCTGAATTATAGAGATTTCTGAAGGAGAAGAGGATGGTCCTACAGGTACAGATAGATGCTCTACTCCAAGATATTATAGGTGGAGAATTTCTCAGCCATTTCAAGAAATAAATTCAGAGAGTAGATAGTTTGAAAACCGCAGCATGACTCAATACAAATAAAGCATCTCCTCGATAACATTGTAATTAACTTTGCCAATATTAATATGAAGGAGAAAACCCTGCAAGCAGCCAGGCATAAGAAAAGTATTATCTACAAAAGGAAAAATATCAGGATAACTATAGATCTTTCAACGAAACCTTTTCAAACCAGAAAAGGATGCTTATCGACCTTCGACCTTCTAAAACAAAACTTTCAGTCCAAGATCTGGGTTTCATTTATGATGGAGAAATCAAGCACTTTACTGACATCCATATGTTAAGGAAATTTGCCATAACTAGACCAGCTCTCTAGGAAATACGCAGACCTGTTTTTCACAATGACCAACATGATGGTCTACCACTAAAGTAAACTCACCCAGAATTTCAAGAACAAAACCCAGTTTCCACAGTGGTGAATGGGTTAAAAATATGCACCGGACCTTTGAAAAACAAGAAGGTCAAAACACTACCATACCTTTTATTCTCTTAATTAATGTGAATGGATTAAGTTCTCCACCAAATGTAGATTAGTAGGATGTAAGCACTCCAATTTGTACAAATGCACAATGAATCCCATAATGGCATAAATGTATTCATGATCTATGTACAAATGACTTAATTAAAAAAAAAAAGTTCTCTGCCAAAGAGGCACAGGTTGGCTAAATGGATACAAAAACTCAAGCCAGGTATCTGTTGTCTCCAAAAGACACAACTTACCTCAAAGGATACTACAAGACTCAGGGTGAAGGGATGGACATCTATAATATAGGAAAATAGAAATCAGAAAAAAGCAGGGCTTGCAATCTTATTTGAAGATACAATTAGATTTAAACCAACAAAAATAAGGAAAGACAAGAATGGACACTACATATTTGTCAAGGGAAATACTCAACATGAAGAGATTTCAATAATTAACAATTATGCACCCTACCTAAATGCTCCTCAATTTATAAAACAAACCCTAACAGATATCAACATTATGATCACTTCCTCCACTATAAGAGTTGGAGATTTTAACACCCTTTGGGAGTTCTGGATAGATCCTCCAAGAAGAAACTAAACAAAGAAATAATAGACTTAAACTTGACCCTAGAATAAATGGGCTTAACAGACATATACAGATCCCTTCATCCCAATAAAACCAAAACACATTCTTTTCATCAGCCCATAGATTTTCCTACAAAATTGATCATATCTTACGGCACAAGTCTAACCTTAACAAGTTTAAAGAATAGAAATTATTCCTTGTACCTTCTTGGACCATGACAGGATAAAAGTTGAACTCAATAGCACCAGAAATCTTCATACTTAAAGTCATGGAAACTAACCTTAGCCTGTATGACAGTTGGGTCAAAGATGAGATTAAGAAGGAAATAATCAGATTTTTAGAAGAAAACGATAACGAAGACACAAACTATCAAAACATGGGATACTGCAAAGGCAGTTCTAAGAGGGAAATTTATGGCATTAGAAGCCTTCATCAAGAAAAGAAAAAGAGGCTTGGCGCCTGTGATTCAAGTGGCTAAGGCGCCAGCCACATACACCTAAGGTGGCAGGTTCGAATCCAGCCTAGGCACTCCAAACAACAATGATGGCTGCAACCAAAAAATAGCCAGGCATCGTGGCAGGCGCCTGTGGTCACAGCTACTTGGGAGGCTGAGGCAGGAGACTAGCTTGAGCCCACAGGAGTTGGAGGTTGCTGTGAGCTGTGATGCCACAGCACTCTGCCCAGGGGGACAGCTTGAG